TATGTATTCTTTGGTTTAGATTGGTTTGATTTATTTTGTTTTACGGCATATCAACCTCAATGGGTTATTTAATGCCAACAACATTTTTAGGATAGATTTGTATGAATAGAATATGTATTCTTTGGTTTAGATTGGTTTGGTTTATTTTGTTTTACGGCATATCAACCTCAATGGGTTATTTGATGCTGACAATATTTTTAGGATAGATTCGTATGAATAGAATATGTATTCTTTGGTTTAGATTGGTTTGATTTATTTTGTTTTACGGCATATCAACCTCAATGGGTTATTTGATGCTGACAACATTTTTAGGATAGATTCGTATGAATAGAATATGTATTCTTTGGTTTAGATTGGTCTGGTTAATTTTGTCCCACGATATCAACCTCAATGGGTTATTTAATGTCGACAAAATTTTTTATTGCTGGTAATATTTTGTTTTGTTAAAAATCTGTTTCTGGTAATATTTTTCCTTCAAAATTATATCAACTCTCAATAATTTTTTTCAAAAAAAAAGTATTGATGGCTCAGTTATTTTTTTATTTTGGACATAGTTTATCGTCTTACCCAGGACGTCGATGTAGTTTAAAGTCTTACCCAGGACGAACAGTGGTTATAGAAAATTATATTGCAATCATCTACTAAGTCAGCATTTCTCAAATGCGCCCTGAAATGTAACCGGTTGCGTCACAACATTAACAGAAGAGTAATTTATTAATTATTTTTATATTTAAAACATCTTTACTTTTCAAAAGCTAATCACACCAAGCCCATGGCTTCCATGTCTAAGTCAAGGCATTTGATATTTTAAACTGGATGCTAAATTCTTTAATCTTCAAGAAGGAGTAGATAATCCTTTCCCTTTTGACTTCCTCAAGGGATTTAAGTCAGTCATTATCGGCCTCTCTTAAAGCGAAAAAAAGAAAAAAAAATTCATTAGAAATCCCTTTAAATGAAAATTACACCGCTAATCTTCTTTGGGAATACTAAACTAAAATTTTCTATTTTCAAAATTTAATGGCTAATCTTTCCTTATTAAAATGTGAAGGGTGCCCCAGAGTTTTAATTATTCTACAAGTGGGCCATGAAGTAAAAAAGGAGGCTGCGAAATACTATCGGAATATGAAATTCATTTCTGATTACCGGCAGTTTGAGGTTTTTTATATCTTAGCGTTGAATGTTTAAGCCGAGTTAAGTTCCAGAATTTTCAATGCTGCTGTTCAGAGCTGGCAGATTACACAGAAGATTGACATTACACAATGTCCCTATTCCCATTTGATCCACTCTCTCCTTGTGTCAGACATGTGGCTGTTCCTGGTGGCAATAATATCAAGGTCAAAAAATGTTAAGGGGTCCACCCCTTTTTATACAAGTGGACTCGCCCAGTGTGTACTTGTACTGCTGCCGGTGAATACCCGGAAGTGAGAGAGTGAGACTAACAGTGAAGGGTTGTAGTTAACCGGAAGAGTCGAGTGTGAGGTAACCGCTTTGTAGGAGTTACAAATATGGAAGGACATGGCATAAAAAATTAGATGTATGCAAAACATTATAGCATGAAGAAAATCGGACAAAAAATGGAACTTTGTTGGTAGTTCACCCAATATAAGGCTCAAGAGCCGCTCCAGTTAGAGGCTTACTGAGTGATATTCTAAAGAAAAGTGAAATAATAGAGGATTATGGGGCCAAGTAGGATAGATATTGGTTAGCTCTGGACATAGAGAGATCAAGATTGTAGTTGTCAGGGAAGCATTCTCTCGGGAGTTTTTTGCGCAAAGTAACAGTTCAGGACAAGAAGCTGTCTGATTGTAACTTGCTACTTATCAAAGAAACACGAAGGGTTTGCCACCGTGAACCTGTCATGGCGGGTCCTAGTTGTGAAGGTGTCAGCCCTGGTGGTACCCAGGAATGTAAATCGTTCAAACATCTGGCATAATAATAGAGATATAGTAGTGAAAAGTTGGCAACATTTTGTCTGTGGAATAAGGATTGCAGGGTGGAGAATAATTCATCACCCACAAGGCTGCGTAAGCGCTTTTGAAATCTGTCAGGCCTGGAAAGTGCGAATTGAGCATCACCAGCCCAGATAAGCCATTCTTAGTCTGATTTGACTCTTATAAAGAAAAGGCGTGGCAATTCGCTACTAAAGTTTCGTGGTACAACCGGTAAGGCGCTATTCATGCTAGATACTTTGACTTTGACGACAGGGTAGTAAGTTCAATCCTCAATGGGCGCTCAATAGATTCGGCCTTGTACGAAGTCTAAGCTAGGCTTTGTAAATCAACTATCCAGACTGTTTTCTAAGGAAACAATTTCGAATCTCCTCGGAGGCTATTTCGTCATTTCCGATTCATGTTGTTTGTTTAAAGGCCGTAGAATGTGAAAACGACCTGAATATTGCGATAAAAAGAAACACTAACGTAATAAAGAAAAAATAGTTACAAATAAATAATAATGAATCTGGACAACTTCAAATTATTTCGTTGCTTTGTTCGTAAGAACAATGGGTGGATATTCAATCAACGTGTTAAGTAGAACCTGATGGTCATAGCCAGTGTAGGGAATGAGATAAGGTGAGATTTAAAATCCCTAAAAACGGGAGTCACTGATGTGTGCTGTTGTAGGCTCAGAGGTTGTACGTCGTAGTAATGGCGACTTATATGGCGGACAAAGTGATGGAAAAAAATGGGGAAGGCGGGAAACTTTGCGGAACGTGAAAGTAAATAAACAGATAATGGAAGAGAAAGAAAGATTGAACCGGAAGAAAGAATTAGGATCGAGAACAGTAAAAGTCACTGGTTATAAAATAAGTAAGATAGAAGACAGGCGAGAAGCATTGTTTGTCACATAGACGCCATGTTTCGGACTCCAAAAGCAATGAATAAAACAATGCAGATCTAAGTTTCGTTTTACTTTATTGTTTTTCGTCTTTGAGTGGAAAGTGATCGTTCACAGATGCGGGGGATCTATGCAAAGATAGATACGAAGCTTAGCTATATCTATAACAGGAGCAAATGGGAAGCGGAAGATCTTATTGTATCAGTTTTCCAAATCAAGAGAGTTAACATATGAAATCCTCTCTTTTATATGTGTCCAAGCAGGCGGTCTTCATTTACCAAACACTCCGGAAACACATATATAAATTTACATAATATGCATAAGTAAAACACACACACACACACACACACACACACATATATATATATATATATATATATATATATATATATATATATATATATATATTTATCTGAATCTCTCTAATCTCTCTATTCTTTTAACGGATATTTGTTTGTAAAGAGCATTTGAAGATTAAAAGTTTGAATACCAGTGTTTTTTTTTTTTTTTACAAAACTTATTTACAAATGTCCTTGAAAAATGTAATTAATACACTTACCCCTTCAGCTATGGGTTAAATAGTAGGACTTGTACATGGAAAAAAATTACTTTTATCCACCCCCCCACAGAAATTGTTAATGCAATAATAAGTTTTTAAAAAATACTAAACATGTTTCGATTTTAAATAACACTTAAGGGGTTGGTAATCCATAAAATAACAAACCAATCAATGAATTAAAATTCCCTCTCTCTATATATATATATATACATAGAGATAGAGAGGGGGAGAGAGAGAGAGAGAGAAAGTGTAAAAGCTATAAAAGAAGCGTTTCGCCAAGAATTTCTGTTGCTTTTGGCTTCTTCAGGTTAGAATGAAAGACAAAGCAGTGTGTTAGGAAAATGCGTTTGTATCTATTACGATATTTTGTTTCTTAATTTCAAATACCAACAGCTCGAACATATTTATATATATATATATATATATATATATATTTATATATATATATATATATATATATATTTTCTATATATATATATAACTATATATATATATATATTCTTTTCTATATATATATATATATATATATATATATAACTATATATATATATATATATATATATATATATATATATATCAAACGAACATCGGATCTGATAAAGTAATTTGGTTTATAGCCCCTTCTTATTCTCATTATTGTTCTCAACTGCATTTTTCCTTATACACTTTTTCTTTCTCTATTTTATATATATATATATATATATATATATATATATATATATATATATTCAGTTATATGGATATGAGTTTTAACCTGGGTTTCACGGTTTTGAGATCATCAGACAAACTCTAGGGTTACAAAGTCATATCCATTTCTCAATCTCTCTCCTCCCTCTCTCTCTCTTTCTCTTTCTCTCTCTCTTTTCTCTCTCTCTCTCTCTCTATATATATATATATATATATATATATATAGTTTTCTTTTTTTTTTAAAATAGTGCTCAGTTATTGCTTGTTCTCTAGCTGCTGAGTCTGTACTACCTAGCTCAGGGATTGAACTCAATTACTATGACATCGAATTCACGAACTAAACTTTAATTCTCTGGGAAATTGTCGTGTGGGTCTGCAGACACTTGAAGATAATACGGCACAACGGTCGAAACATTTGTGATAATACGACAAAGATGAAGGCATTATTTCGACTGTAAATAATGTAAATAAATTACATTGCCTCTCGTCTCGGATTGACGAAAACCACGTGGCCAAGTTCAACCTTTCCGCCATATTGTATTTCTGGATTTTGTCGACGATGTTTAAGCTGTTCAGCAAACCTTGTGACAAGTGAAGCAGTTACATGATCCACCTACACATCAGATGTGTTTTAATTAGCACCCTCTCTACCCACGGTCAGAAATGCGAGCTTTTGACTCCCACGGATGCTTTCATTCTTTCTGGTTCCTGGCTTTCTTCTGACGGGGGTTGGGGGCTGAAACAGTGGGAGGGCGTGGCGAGCGGCATGTAAATACGTACTTCATTTGAGAAGACGTGTCTTCAGAATTTCTGTAAAATAGTGTGTGCATGGGGGGTATATGGGTGAAATCAAGAATTTATTGATTAGTGAGTCACTTGTGTGACACAAAAAAGGAACTCGGTAAAAAGGGGCTGTCGATTAAGAGAAGAAGAAAAAATAAATGAAAAGAAAAACAAGGAGAAAAAAGACAAGAACGAAGAGATAAAAAGAAAATAGAAAAGAGAAAGAAGCGGAGAATGAAGGGGGAAAAGAAAAGGAAGTCAAAGACATCGTAGAGAGGAGATATAATGAAAGAAAGAAAATAAAGAAGAAAAAAGCAGAAAAAGAAAGAAGAAAAATAAGTGTTAAAAATGAAGAGAAAAGTAGAAAGGCAAAAGAAAAACGAAAAAAGAGTGGGGAATAAAAATGGCTGTCAATTAAGGTGGAAAAAAGAATCATCGATGAAGGAAAGAAAATGAGAAAGAAGACAAGGAAAAAGAGACAAACGTAAAAAAAACGAGAACAGGGAAGAGAGAGAAGAGGAAAAAGAACGATAAAGGATTGAATAAAAGGGAAAAAAGAAGAGACAACGAAAGAAAAATGAAGGTAAATAAATATTGCAAAGAGAAAGAAAGATGGACGAAAAGAAATAAGATAAAGAACTAAGAAAGGAAGAAAGAGTAAAAAAAAGCTGAAACAGAAAGAAAAAAAAAAGAGAAAAATACGAAAGAAAAGGAGAGGGAAATAAATAAAATAAGGTAAAAAGAAGAAAACACGAAAAAGAAGAAAAAAAGAAAGACAAAAGTAACAAAAAGCAAAAAATAAGATAAGCCAAAAAAAAAAAAAAAAAAAGAAGCAATAAGAGAAAGAGGGAAAAAAAGATTTAAAATTTAAAAAGAATTTAGAAAATGTCGGACGAGACATGCTTAAAAAATTTCTTCAAAAATTGACGAAAATAAAAAAAAAGAAAATCTAACCTCAAAATTCATCAAAAAAAAAAAAATTAAAAAAACGAAAACATGAATAAAAGAAATTGACAAAGAAGAATGAAAAAGCAAGAAGTAAAATAAGTAAAGAAAAAAAAGACAAGATGAAAAGCCTACAGAAGAAAAGGTATCAAAACAACAAATAAAAGGATGAAAATATTGCCTTGAAGAAATTAATAGCAGCAAAGAAGGATGCAGCGAAGAAAATTATCAATTAATTTAGGTCCAAGAAGAATTGAAAAAAAAGTTCGAGAAATACTAAAAAAAATTGAAAAAAAAAAGAAATACAAAATTAAAACTAAACGAAAAAAGAAAGCGAACGACATCTCATCGACTTAAAATGTTTTTTAAAAATAAAAAATATATAAAAGCAAGGATTTTTGTTGCTATTTAGTCTGTTTTTCTTAATTTTTTTCTTATTTTTCTCTTTTTTACATGAAAGAAAAATAGTCAAGAGGAAAAGACATATTTAGAAATTGTATTTGACGTTTTTCTTTTATTATAAACAACGAAATTTATTTATTTATTTTGAAAGCAAGAAAAGATATAAGAACTTATGATTTTATCTGTAAAACCGTTCAGGTCACTGGTTTTAAAAAGCATTTCTGAATTTTTCAACGGGCTAGGAGTGGAAGACATGTTACTATTTTGAGGCTCAAGTATAGAGGAGAAGGTGTCGGCCATCAAATAATCATTCTCTTCACTATCTATCTATCTATCTATCTATCTATCTATCTTACCCTGATCTTTATCAATCTATCTTAGTCTGTTCCTATCTATCTATCTATCTATCTATCTATCTATCTATCTATCTATCTATCTATCTCAGTCCTTTTCATATCTATCTATCTATCTATCTATCTATCTATCTATCTATCTATCTATCTATCTATTACCCCCACCACATATGCAACCTCCTTCATATATGATAAAACGTAACAGTGAATATAATTTATTCGGAATTATCTTTATCGTTGGCGCAGCATACTCTTCCTTGTTTGATTTACTCCATCTCACCTTGTAGTGTACTCAGGTAAACTTATCATGCATCAGTATTTATTGATCTTAACTGAGTCTGGCACAAGGCTAAATTTAAGATCCCCCAAATTGGTTTTGTACCCTACGTATCGACTATTCATCGACTTTTAGTTTTTAAAATTCTTCTTGTACTTCTTATAGAACACTGAAAAACCAGCGAAGGCCTTTGAAGGCGTATCTCAGGTTAGACCTTTAAGTATTTACAAGAGTTTGTCTGGCACATGGTCACAGTAATGGGGGAGTTTTTTTTTAACTAGATTAAGTAATTGTACGGACGTAAGAGGAGAAAGTAAATGCAGATTATGAGAATATGTTGGCTAGATAACGAATGAAGAGGTTAAGATTTTAATGGTCGTGAGTATTTTTTTCACAAAGTACCAGTTCTCAGGAAGAAGCAACCTGAGCGGAACTTCCTCCTTATCAATGGAATACGAAAGAAATAAGATTCGATCGTGTGTGTGTTTGGCATGGAGGGTCTTAGTTGTAAAGATTTGTATTGGTGGAACTAAGTAATGTAGCCCGTCTGAACATTTGCCATGGAAATAGCGATAGTTTAGCGAGAGGTTAATGTTTCCTCTATGGGAATGGGGTTGTATGGAAATTGAGGAATGGAAAGCTCCATGACAGCAATTTGATTTAACTCTTGTAAAGATCGAGCATAGCAGGAAGAATCAGAGACATTTTGGAATGGTACAAGGAAGCAACCATTTTCTAACATCTTGAGCGAACAACATCCAACAGGAATTCGAACACGGCTCTCCGATTAATAACTCCGAGCCATTATTCTTTACACTGACCGCACATCCCTGCTTACAGCACCTGGTATTCCCAAGCGGTCACCCATCTAGGTAATGACCAGGATCGATATTGCTTAACTTCAATCACCGTACGGGAACCGATGATTCAACTTGATATGCCTCTAGCTGTCTAATTTACGAGGTATGACTCGACAGTAAGTGACGTTCTTGGGTGTATCATGTAAACAAGAGATACGCCTCAAATTATGTTTTATTCGACATTTTGAAACACGTAAGTAATTGAGCGTATCAATAATGTCGAATGCAGTTTTATAAAAGCAATATATATATATATATATATATATATATATATGTGTGTGTGTGTGTATGTGTGTAGAAAGGAGTGGGAAATGAAATTCTGTGGAACGGCTAGAAAATGAATTTAGCACCTGCACTACCACAGGCAAGTTTTTCGACCTAAGGAAATCTTAGAAAACTAACGAGGTTTTGGCTCCAAATTGTTTTTTTCTTTTTTTATATCATCTTTCTGTTACTATATGGTAATTTTCTAAGCGTGGCTTAGGTGTGGCACAAGGTCGAAAGTATGGGGTACCCAGTGAGAATCGAAGACGCTACTCAGTTGTAATCGTTCTAGCAGGACCAGCTTGCTAACCATTACACCACATCGTTTCTATTGCTATATGGATATTATGAGCCTTTCTTTTTCTTTCTTTCTTTCTTTCTTTCTTTCTTTCTTTCTTTCTTTCTTTCTTTCTTTCTTTCTTCTCCCCTCTTCATTTTTTTCAACTGTCTTCATTTGTTCCTTTTCTATCTTTTTCTCTTTCTGTCGATTATCTGATGTATTTACTTTACCTTTTTCTTTCTTTCTTTCTTTCTTTCTTTCTTTTTTTAATTTTCTTTCTTTCAGCATTCTTCCTTTCTCGCTTTTTTCTTTCTCGTTTATTTTTGCATTTAATTTATGTCTTCATTTTTCATTTCTTTCTTTTTTTCCTTTTCGCTTTTTGTGTTCTTTTTCTTCCGTTACATTCTTTCATCTCTTTCTTTTTCTCTTTCTTTCTTGCCTCATTTATTTATTTATTTTTCTTCCTTTCTTTTTCCTATCTTTCTTTCTTTCTTTCTTTCTTTCTTATTTTCCTTACGTCTCTTTCTTTTTCCCCTTTCTGCTTTTATTCTATCATTCTTCCTTTCTTTCTTTTACGCTTTCTCGTTTATTTTTGCATTTATTTTACGTTTCCATTTTTTCTTTCATTCTACATTTTTTATTTTCTCGTCTCTTTCTTCCATTATTTTCTTTCAACTCTTTCTTTCCATTGTTTTTTTAAGCATTTCACTCCAAGCAAGGCAGGGGTGCCACTACCACGCAAGGGTTACAGAGAGTGAGAGCAAGAGTAAAGAGGGAGGGGTTTACAGATAGTGAGGGCAAGAGTAAAGAGGGGTGTTTGAGGAAAGGACGTCGAGAAGGACGGGGATCAAGATCAAGGCATCAGAAGATGTCAATTGACATTACATTTGAATATTTGAAGATTATAGTTATCAGGGAAGCAAGTAAGAGGAAGGGAGTTTCACTGTCGGGAAGAGCAAGAGAAGAAGCTGTTGGAGTAGAAAAGGCGGTTACATTTAACTGTTTTGACGGTGAAAGAGTGGGACCAATATGCCAACCTAGTAAGTAAATTCATGCAGTTAAGGTACCTGTAAAAGTAGCTCGTCAGAGCAGTTGACATGAAAATATTTGTAGAAAAGACAGAGGGAAGCACGTCTGTGAGAAAGTGACTGTAGACGAGATGCCAGATCAGGGCCTATCACATTGTATATCCATCTTTGATTTTGTCGAGGACCTCGAAATGAACAGCTGGGAAAGGCAGATATATGACAGCAATAGTTTCAATGCAATGACGAATGGTTGATTTGTTGATTTGATGGATGGACTCAGACGAGACAAACATTTTGGCGCGACATAGAGAACCAAATTTCCTTGCGCTAGATGAAGCTATTGTTTCAATGTAGTTGTTTAACCTCAGGTCAGTTGAAAACGTGAGGCCAAGAAAGGCGCAGGTGAGCCACTCTAAAAATTCGAAAGTTGGGCATTTTTACCAGTAGAACAAAGAGGGGGGGTCCTCTATCTTTCTCTTACTTTTTGTCTCTTCCTTATTTTTTTATTTATTTTTTGTTTCTTTAAAATTTTATTTATTTATTTATTTATTTATTTATAATTTATTTTCCTAATGAACTTTTTAAAACATTTTTTTTTTTTCTTTCTTTTTTCTTTCAACAAATTTTTTTTTTTTTGAGAAACAATTTTCTTTCATTTGATTTTTTTCTTTTTTCTTTTTTTTTCTTTTTTTTTTTCTTTTTTTCTTTTTTTTTTTTTTTTCTTTGAATTTTTTTCTTTCTTTCATTTTTTTTTTCTTTTTTTTTTTTTCTTTCAGAAACCTTTTTTTTTTTTTCTTTTTTTTTCTTTTTTCTTTCTTTTTTCCTTTTTTTTTCTTTTTTTTTCTTTTTTTTTTTTCTTTTTTCTTTTTTTTTCTTTTTCTTTTTTCTTTATTTCTTTCTTTTCTTTCTTTCTTTCTTTCTTTTCTTTCTAATGCCTTTTGAGAGGTTAGCTTCATGACCCTGCTTTTCATCTCTCTGTATTTTATCATCTTGATTTTGTCTCTTCTGAGGATATTCATATTCCGGTGGTTTGAAAAAACGAGACTGAAAAAATGAAAAAAAAAATTCAAATTAAAATCGTGACGTGAAAAAAAACTTCTTAATTCCTGAACTTGCATGATTCTCTCCCCTTAATAACACTATTTTCAGTACCCCCCTAATGCGTCTTAGGTGCTTTATTACCTTGCTTGCTTTGAAATGATTAAAAGAAATCTCATTGTCGTAATGAAAACAACGTAGGTCGAAGGTCTAACAAGGTTAAAACGGATTGCTCGCAATTGTTTCTGAACCCAACCAACCAAATCGAAGGTCAAGAGTTCAGTACAAGTCCACAAGGGATTTCTGGCTTTCTTTCAATCAGATTAACTTGGAGCTAGGAAGAACGACCCGAATCTGGAGAACCGAACAATGCGATTCAACGATTTTGTGAAGACGTTAAAGGATGGGGTGTGGATAACATGAGAAGGGGAACGCTTGGCGGACCGTGAAGAATATCGAGGTTATGCCAAAGGCATCATACTATACACTACACTGACCTGGGTATGACGATAAACTACGTCCGGTTGCAAGGTTTCTGATCTCAGGAGCTTTTGAAGAGAGTGGAACCATCTCTTAATTGTTGTTTTTCCCAGGTTTATCCGCACCCCCGGAGTTGAAGCATCTGTTAACGTCCCAGTTATGGGCAAATAGCCAACCTCTAAACTAGGATTCAAAACAATATGAAAGTATAAAAATAGATTTTATATCTTTAAAAATACCAGCAATACATTTTTAAAGAAAAAAAATACGATTTTAAATACATCTGAATCGATAATTTCTTTACAAAAATACATCAATGAAAACTGAACTAAAAGCAGATTTCTTACAGAAAATACATATTATATTCATGCGAATCTATCCTAAAAATCTTGTCGGCATTAAATAACTGATTGAGGTTGATATGCCATAAAACAAAATAAACCAAACCTAGCTTCAGTGAGTCTAAGACTGCACTACCCAGATCAAGGATTGAACACATTTTTATATTAAGAAATACTAGAAATACATTTTCGAAAAAAAAATGACCAGCAGTTCATATGACACTCGACAAAAACCCTTTTTAGACAAATACATGAATAAAACCGGATGTACAAACTGATTTCTTACAGAAATATATATTCTTTTCATACGAATCTATCCTAAAAATCTTGTCGGCATTAAATAACCCATTGAGGTTGATATGCCCCAAAACAAAATAAATCAAACCAATCTAAACCAAAGAATACATATTCTATTCATACGAATCTATCCAAAAATTTTTTGAGCATTAAATAACCCATTGATTTGTTGATATGCCGTAAAAAAAAATAAACCGAACCAATTTAAACCAAAGAATACATATTCTATTCATACGAATCTAAAAAAAATGTTTCAGCATTAATTAACCCATTGAGGTGTTGATATATTGTAAAAACAAAATATGTAAACCAATTTAAACCAAAGAATACATATTCTATTCATACGAATCTATCCTAAAAATGTTGTCGGCATTAAATAACCCATTGAGGTTGATATGCCGTAAAAAAAATAAATCAAACCAATCTAAACCAAAGAATACATATTCTATTCATACGAATCTATCCAAAAAATGTCAGCATTAAATAACCCATTGAGGTTGATATCACGTAAAACAAAATAAATCAAACCAATCTAAACCAAAGAATACTGTATATTCTATTCATACGAATCTATCCTAAAAATGTTGTCGGTATTAAATAACCCATGAAGGTTGATATGCCGTAAAACAAAATAAACCAAAAAGCCTCTGTTATACCATGCGCATTTTGCTAGAGTAAGTTTTCTTGATGTGATGCTCATATATTAAAAAATAGTTTTCAAAAATACTTTTTTTTTTTTATTCAAGATCAAATTCTCAGCACTTCATTATCAAGTTTGATTTTTCATCTTTACGAACAGTTAAGCAATTTGGGGAATTGTGACTGATGTCCAGAGTGAAGTCATCCAAGTTTATCGAAGCGGGAAATGGAATCGAGGATCAGAGTTCAAATTCTCTACAAAACTGTTTGCGATTTCCTAATCCTAATATCCTGACCCTTTTCGTTCTACTCCTTTAAAAGTGTCACTTTTTTTATACATTCACCGCAGAATGACTTCTTTTATGTGCCGTGTCCATTCTGTACGTGAGCGATGTCTCTCCAGATTTCTTTTCTTTGTAGCTCTTAGCAATGTTTGCCTTTTTACTACCACCGCCCATTCCGCGTCCTTCTGTCCATTTACAAAAGCTCATTAGGTAGGTTATTTGCTCTCCTCCCCCTCTCTTTCCCATTCGATACGCCCTTTGATTGTCATCATTTCCAAGCCTTCTTTCTTCGTTTTCTGCCCAAGTAATTTCATCTGTCTCTTTCTCATTCTAAGTGTCCTCCTGCGTTTGTTGATAAACTGCGTCCGGCAGCAAGGCTTCGGATAGGAAGGTTTTGAGGATCGTGGAACCACCTCTTAACTTCTCTTGTTACTAGGTCCACCCTGACCCGTGATGGTAGCACCTGTTAGGGTCCCAGCTATGGACAAATAGTGAACCCCCAAACAAAAACCATCAGTACATTTTTATAATAAATATACCAACAATACATTTTTTATATCAAAACGACAATCAATGCAAAACTATAAATAAAAAATATAAAAATACATTTTTATAGTAAAATTGCCAACAATATTTTTTATCATCTACAAACTATATATCTTTGTTTACCCTGAAAATATAAAATTATGTAAAAACATATCTGTACTTGAAAGCATGAAATTATGTTCAAAATATTTAGATTTCAGCATTAAATAACCCATAGAGGTGTTAATATGCCGCTAAACAAAATCAGTCAACCTATTTATAGTAAAATTACCAACAATACATATTTAAAGCAAAATGGCCAACAATACATTTCATTTGTAGTTGAAGGTATGCAACTGCATTCAAAATATATTTAATTGAAGCCATATTATTGTGTTCAAAATATTTAGATTAAACAACCCATAGAGGTGTTGATATGCCGCTAAACAAAATCAACCAAATATCATTCTAAGTGGAAGTGTCCTTGTTATTTCCACTTTGCTTAAAATTTCTTAGTTGTTTACGCGCTCTGTCCATGATATTCTCAGCAGTCTTCTGTAGAACATGATGCCTCAAGTCTTCCCCCTTCATATACGAGGAAAATGTCTGGCGTTCACTTCCATAAGGAATAGTCTTTCTACCATTCTTAAACATTGCGACAATGGTATTTTAAGATTAAGGAAAATGTGGAAGACAAAAACTGGCACGTATTAAACTTAGGTAATAAAGGAATAACGTGAAAGATCTTAGCTGTAAAGGTCTGAACTGGCGGAACTGAAGAATGTTTTCCATGGAAATACTGCATTCGTTACACACACACACACACACACACACACACACACACACATCCTGCCTTTTATAGATAGAGATAATACTGCTGGGCACAACTTAGAAGAGAAAATGTTTTAAATTTGCATTGTTTATTGAAAAATCACACTAAAGTTATTGCACTCTACAATATATTACATCATAATATTGTCTGAAAAATGTACAGAAATACATGATTTTTACAGGTTTTTGCAAACTGACTTCAAACTTTGACTATTTCAAGAATAAATCCAAATAAAGTTGATATCTTTTTGTATTACATAGATTGAATGGAAAACATATTCAAAACAGAATTCTAATTATGAATTATCACAAGCAAAATATGCATTTTTTTACTGTATTTGATAAGTAAAAACTGTATAAAAATTGTAAAAATTACAAAAAAAGTTATTCAATGAATAAAATTTATTGGACTATTTGATTGATTAAAATAAAATCAAAAACACAGATAAAAGGGAATATAACACCATAATATTACTTGGCACACATTATAAGACAAAATATTTTAAATTTGTATTGTTTATTGAAAATCACGAAAACTACTGAAATTTATAATATATTACATCATAATATCTATCTATCTATCTATCTATCTATAGATAGATAGATAGATAGATAGATAGATAGATAGATAGATATGGCTATATTGTTCAATATAATTTCCCTTTGAAGTAAATGAAGGTCTTATTTGCTGATACAAAGATTTAGTAATAATGTGCTTGTGCCGTATATCTTGTCCATATACAATTTGTAAAGCTTTAATAAATTATAAATTTTATAAGGCCGTGCTATAAGGCTTTCACCTAAACCTAAACTTAATCTTTAAACTCGTCTCCTCAAAAAACGGTAATGATTCGTAAAAAATACTTTGTGTCGTTATTTATCATGTCAAACCACAACTTTCAAATTGAGTGCAATACCACGGTTCCAGAGTCGACCTGCTCTACTTGTCCAGGTCTGGTGATATCTCGTCTAGTTCTTATTTTCAGTACTGCTCAGGTATCTGTCCAACATTTCCGATGTTTGGAGAGATTTTGGGAAGTGTGTAGGGTCGGAAAATTTACAGCACCCTAACACATATTCCGTTGACTCTTCAACCGGAAATCTTGAAGTACCTTCAGCCATTTAACTTCCTCCCAAATTTCGACATACCTCCATCTCGGCGAGAAGACGCACCAGAATGCTATACACGTGACTGTAATAATGGCGAGTTTATTTTCACTTAGGAATGTGCCATTGTTTCTACTTTTGGCAAACGCTGTATCATTGTTCTACAACCTTTCTTCCGCCATATCTTTTTTTTTACCAATAATAAGAAAAAGAAAAGAAAGAAAAAATCGTGTGTGAATAAACGATGAAGAATGTAATGAAGAAATTTAAGCCGCGTAAACAAAAAATAGCGTAAAATACGTGGAAAACAAAGAAAAGCAAAAAGCGACTACACAATGGTTAGCAATCTTGGCTTGCATACATAGTGAGTATTGTAATGAGTTCAGTCTT